GAAAGCTCACTGCCTAGCCAACCTAGCAGAATTGATGAGCACCACATTCTCATGAGAAAGCCTGTCTCAAAAAGGTGGAGAGTGACTGAGGAAAACACCCAAGGTCCACCTCTGGCCTCCACACTCACATATACACGTGTACCTACACACAGAGAGACAAATACAGACACTACACAAGCCTTCACATGCGCACAAGGCAGCTGAGATGGGAGGTCAGAGAGGGCGAAAGGACCCTGCTAGGCCTGCATGGGGTCATAAAGTTTCTTGTCTGCTCTGTGTGGTAGCAAAACTTCGAACAGAGGTGTGGCATGGTCTGATTGATTCAGATGACTGCTTGGACAATTGTGCAGGGACAAATTGGTAAGTGGCAGGAGAGAGGCTGAGAGAATCTTTGCAGTGATGCAAGGTGGGTGACTTTGAGGTAGTAAGACTCTGGAAGTGTGGGCAGGACCCCCTGACAGAATCTCCTCAGGGATGGATAGAGTGAGCTGACAGAGGAGTCAAAGGCGGCTGGAAGGCTGGAACTGAGACTTCTGGGTAAACTAGGTAACTATGAAAATCAGTATAAACTTTCCTCCAAAACAAAAAAGAAAAGAAAAACAATTACCAAATGATTCAACAACCGCTACCTGAATAACACTAAGTCAACATACCACAGACATGCTTACACATTTGTGTTTATAGCTGCCCTGCTCATAATCGTCAAAAAAATGGAACCAGCTTAGAGGTCTGTCAGCAGGTGAATGGATGAGGAAACGTGTCACATGCTGTAGTGGAAGTGCAAACAGTGTTGAAGAAGAATGGAATCATGACATCTGTGTGAAAATAGATGTAACTATATAGCGTTATATTAAGCAAAATAACCCACTTAGAAAGACAAACAACATGTGTTTTCCTTTATGTGTGAAACTAGATTTAAAATTGTGTGCATATGTGTGCGTGTGTGTGTGTGTGTGTGTGTGTGTGTGTGTGTAAATATATGTATGGAGGATCACAAAACTAGAAAGGAGATGATGGTAGGGGAGGAAGATATCTTAAAGGAGCTGGAGAATGTAAAGAGCAATGGAATGTGTGTGATTAAAAAAGAAGAGCAGGAAGAAAGGGAACCACCTGAAACAGGGCAGGTGGCCTGGAGCAGAGCAGTGAGGGAGGGAAGAAAATGAGAACAAAGTGTAATAATCCATATGTATAAAGGTACCATGATGAAACCCAACACTTTGTGCTGACCTAAAAATGAAGACAGCACACAGATCAGCCTGGAAATGATAAAGAAACGTCTTCCCTGTTGGCTAGTTTGAATAGTGCCAGAAGGTGCCCTGTGGCACTTAGGCCTCTGGGGCTGGGGTGTACATCAGTGATAATGTCCAGTACTGATCCCTGGAGGCTACAGTATCAACACATCAGGCAAGATGTGTTCACTGCTGCAGTGTTGGTATGGCTGCTATGGAAGGAAACAATCACTTCCTGATCGGATTTGGTACCTGTTCCACAGAAGGTAATTCACACCTGTAACTGCAAACCTTGTCAAAAGCCCATAGCTGAGGGGATCATAGATCCTGTGGGAATCTATCACTATTATTTTGCTAAATGGACATGTTCTCAAACTGCTTTCTAAATATTTGTGTTTATTCGCATAGATTAGTGGTACTCTTTGCCCAAGTCGGAGAAGCCCGTTTTGCAGTGGTTAATACAAAGACTTAGAGTGTGTCAGTGTGCTGAAAATCTCTGTGTATGGTCAGCCCGAATGAGCTATCTATATCCACCAGTCCACAAGGCTCAGGGAGCATCGCGAAAGAGGGAAAGGATGTGAGGGCTAGAAGACACAGAAGAGTGCTATGAAGTGCGGTCTTCTGGGACTACCAGTAGTGGCAAGGTCTGCCTCATGACCCCCCACACACCAGATCCTAGGCCCCAGCTCTGCCTGCAGTCCCAGAAACAGCAGCCATCAAGGACTACCAGCAGTGGTGAGGTGAGCCCTGTGACCTCTGTGCATGATTTCCCAGGCCCCAGCTCTGCCTGAAGCTCCAGAGACGACAGCCTTTGGGGACTCCAAAGACAATAGCCAACTAGGACTACCAGCAGTACATGGCGCCAGTTCCCAGGCCCCAACTCTACCTGTGATTACAAAGGTGGCAGCTATCAAGGGCTACCAGAGACCTCCAAGCCTGCCAACACCAGGGACAACCAGATGACTAAAGAAAAACATAAGAACACGCTCAACAAAACCGAGGGCAATATGTTACCACCGGAACAAGCTCCCACAGACCGGAAAGACACACATGCTATGTAGCACACTCACTTTTAAGAGGATATTAGCCATATGTTACAGGATAACCATGCTACGATTCACAGACCCAAAGAAGCTAAGTAACAAGGAGAGCCCAAGCGAGAATGCTTGGATATCGCTCAGAAGGAAAAATAGAACAGACAGCAGAAGTGGGTGCCGAGGGAACAGAAAGAGAAGGTGTGCTGGGGGAAACGAGAAATCAGACTTTGGGAGAGTGGGGGAGGGGGAGGGAGGACAGGGGTCTTGCAGAGAGAGGAGAAACCAAGGTGGGGGTGTCTCTGAGGCAAGCTAAAGACCTGTGACAGGGTAGGCTCCTGGGAGGATGTGGGGATGACTCTGGCTAAGACTCCTGGCAGCAGGGGTCATGCAGACTGAGGAGGTCACCTTCTAGTTCAACAGGACTTCTAGTGGAGGGAGGGGAACACCAAACCACCTACAAAACTCTGACCCCGAATTTACCCTGTCTACAAGATTTGCATAAAGTTAGAGCAGAGGCTGAGGGAATATCCAACCTATGCCTGACTCAAGGTGAGACATACCCCACGGGAGAGAGCCAGCCTCTGACACTACTGATGATACTCTGCGTGCTTGCCATCAGGAGCCTAGCGTAGTTGTCCTCTGAAAGGCTTCATCCAGCAGTGGATCAAAACAGATGCTGAGACTCACAGCCAAACGTTAGGTGGAGTGCAGAGATCCTTGTGGAAAAGTGAAAGGAAGGATAGAAGGATCCAGAGGGGACAAGAGCTCCACAAGAAGGCCGGGGGCGGGGGGCATGCGGACACTGAAGCACCAGCCAAGGGCCATGAATGGACTGAACCGAGGCCCTCTATACAAGTGTAACTCATGGGCAGCTTAGTTCTCACATGGGTACCCTAGTAAGGAAAGCAGGGTCCTCTACACTGCCCTTGCCACTACATGCCATTGCCCTCATGAACTCACAGCAGCTGTACTTACCTGTGTGAAGATCAAATCAGCTAAAATTCCAGCACAGAGAATGGAGAGGTTCGTGACGCTCTGTCCTCAGCTGAGTTTCTTTGAATGGCCTCTAAAAGAAGGGGAGTCCTTTTTCTTTGGGGATGTGGCTGCTGGTAGGCTGCGCATATTCTAGTGGATGGTCCCATACTCATGTGCTATGAGCTAACTGGACTCAATGGACTATAAGAAAAAAAAAAAAAACTTGCTATTGTGATGGGGACGTGCTGAGGCCTGGAAGAAGCTGGGAGTGAGAGGTGGATACAAACAAAATATGCTATATATATATAATATATATATATATATATATACACACACACACACACACACATATATATGTGTGTGTGTGTGT